GAGAGATAGAGAATCAAGAATGGCAAAAATAACAAAATATACAGAAAACAAGAAATGGAAAATTGTTTGTTGACAATAACACGCATGTCGAAGTGCTTTACTGAGCCAATATACAGTGTATTCTGGATGGGAGATCTCATTTTCTTTGCTATAATGATGTATAGTGAATGAATGTAAATAAATAAATTTCAATTTAAAAAATTAACACAATTTGTGACAATATTCATTGTTTCTGCTACCTTAAACAATTTCGACTGTAGCTGTTTTCCTAAGTGAGATGGATAAAGCATGCCATTGCTGTTTTTTCCTCCTTGAGGTTTTTCCACTTTTCAGAAACACACACATTTACACCACTGCCATCTGACTACACCACTCCTTGCCATGCTTTCATCTTGAAAACTCGAATCTGTATCGAGAACTCCAGGCTTACATTTAAATGACAGTGCCTTAACAAGAGAAAAAGAATTGTGCTGCATTTTCCCTCTCGTTATCTGAAAACATAGTGGGTGTACGTATATTAAATATATTCTTACAAATGTCCAGTCATGTTTACCAGCTGAAATTCTCTTACTTAATGTGCAGATATTTACATTGTGATATTTAATCAAGACATTTGTATGAGTAGAAGGTTGTTGATTTAAGACAAATTTGTGAGCCTCTAAAATTAGTTGTTGTATGTCCTTCTGGTGACTGTGGAAGCTTCATATTTCCTTTGGACATCATTAGATGTTGTAGCTCTTGACTTTAATGCTGTAAAGGTTTTGCCATTTTGCTAATACTAGTATGCTCCGTGCATCCACCATCCCACTGGAATTATTTATTCCATTCATATTAATTTTGTCACAAATCTAACTGATGGAGGAGCTTCTGGATATGTAGGTCCACGTTCTATTTTCAGGCTATATATTCTGTTTTAATAATTTGTCCTTGGTGGCCCAATAATCATGCCTGTCCACCTTGTAAGTGTCATATCTTCATCTTCAAGGCCCCAGCTAACTGTACTATCGTCTACTCCTTTTTGTCCTTCAAGTTCTTCCAACAAGTGAAAGTTACAAAAAACTTTAACTTTTGTGGAGACCACCATCTTCTCCTGC